GATGGATGGATGGATGGATGGATGGATGGATGAATGGATGAATGGATGGATGGATTTATGAGAAAACATAAATGAATGGAATTTAGACAATTCTAATTCACAGATATTAAAATTCAAACAAATCTATCCTAACCTGTGTTCTTGGGTTCCTTTTCCTGCTTTGTGCTTTTACATGCCAAAACTAATTCAACCTCTGGGCTTCCAGGATCTTTTCCAGGATACTTTCCCTCTTTCTTCTCATTCTTCTTGTTCTTCTTCTTATCTTCAACCAGAATACTTCCTGGTTCATTTGAACTTGAATAATTCTTAGGGTTTCTTTTCCTGAGTCCAGTTCTTGTCGGCATAACCTCAAAATCATCACTCCCAGGTGAAATTATTTCACTGTTGGAGCAATGTGAACGAGTTTTAGGTGTACCCCCTGCGACATCTGATGGTGGTATTTCCTGGACGCTAGAATTGGAGTCTTCCTGGACCTCAATGACTGCAATACTTTCTGATTTACTCTCCTTAGTCTTGTCATTCTTCTTTTTCTTAACCTTTGTCATCTTTCGCGGTTCTTCCACCAACTTTTCCAAAGTTTCTTTGGAAATGTAAGTAATATCCATGACATCTTGTTTTGCATTCTTGATGGATAACTTTGTGTGTGATTGCTCTATCTCTGGACATGTCTGGGATTGCCTCTTCTTTTTTCCTCGTGCTTTGACTTCATCAGATGTTTCTTTCAGTTTCTTCGTTGTAGCTGTTGTATCACTAGGCACTGCCTTCTTGTTTTTCTTTGTACTTCCATCTGATGCCTGTGGTTCTGTTTGGTATGCAACTGAGTTGCCATCATCATCACCATCATCACCAATATCTACAGCATCTTCAAATTCCAGTGGTTTAGAGTAACGAATATTAAGTTTAAACTTAGAAGAAGTAGTCTTAGATTTCTGAGGACTTTTCTTCAAATTACTGCTAGTTACATTTGTTTTATTCTTTGTCATCAAGACATCAAAAGCATTTCCTGGTAATTCCAAAGGTGAACTTTTAGGAGAACAGTCAATTAATTGGTCTTTGCTCTTCTGTTCTTTTGTCCTGGTTGGGGAATAAACATCTTCTATCATGTCTGATTCTTCACTCTTTTCATTTTCATCTGCTATAGGGCTTCTACTTTGGTTCATAAGAACATCAAATGCATTCTTGGCTGCCTTAGTTTGACTATCTGATGATATTGAATGAGGTTTAGATTCAATTTTCCTTTCACTGATAACAGTAAGTTCGATCATGTCCTCTTTTTCCACTATAACTTCTTTTGACATTTTTGATAAACCTTGCTCACCTTCTACAGTATTCTCTTCGTTTACTTCGACACTTTTGACATTTCCCACTGAGATCTCACCAAGTTCCCTATCTTTCTTCCTCTTCTTCTTCCTTTCTTCCTTTTCCCGTTTTTTATCATCTTTAAACTCTGTTCCCTTTTCCTTTTCGTCGTTGCAAGAATTATCTTCATTTTGTTCAGTTTTGTTTTTCCTACTTTTCAATTTATTACAACCATTTTTACTTTCTTCTTCATCTTTACTCAATTCTACAAAATCCTCAGAATCAGAATCGGAATCATTATCTTTGCTCTTTTTAGATTTCTTTGCTACCCGCCACAACAAAGACCACTTTGGTTTAGGTTTCTTTGAAGAAATATTTCCACACTCTTCCCGTATCTTTGTATTTGCTGCACTTTCAGTAGCTCGGCATTCTACAGCATCTATGCGACTAGCAATCCCCTCAGCAACTTTTTCAGATTCTGTTACAACATTTTCATCACTATCTGAGTGTTGAATCAATTCTATGTCAGCTGTTTTTTCGTCAGTAAAGGATTTATTTTGTTGTACGAAGAAATTTTTGATATCTTTTTTATTGGCAGGTTCATCGTTTATTTTTAATGATTCCTTTGGCAGAAAAAAGCTTTTTATTGAAGGCGATGACTTCTTGATTTTACTTGATTCTGGACTCTGAAAGACAGCACCAAAAAACACTTTTATCACAATAAAGTAAGCAAGCATAACAGGCTATTTGCATGATGGCATCATTTTACTACTACCACTACCAAATTTTGTCACACTTCCATTTAGACTTCACAATCAATGGCTAAAGATAAAGGCCTTATTTAACACGAGTATTCGTACACTTAGTAGCTGGTCTTTCAGGGAGCCGGTGGTGCATACTTTACCACCCTCTCTCCATCAGTGCTCTGTTTTAAGAGTATACAAAGCTAAAGTTACATGGAATAGAGAGAAGTCAAAACAGAATTGGAGATCCTGGCGATCAAACTGTGGACCTATAGCTCAGAAGGCCGCACACTACTCAACTGAGCTACATCTGCACCTTGAAAGTACAGTGAATCAGTTTGGCCTGAATTAAGGTGTGCAAAGTATTGTGGTAGTGGTAGTATATGACATCATTTGCTTAAGTGACTACCAAACAATGGCTTCAAATCAAAGTTGGACTTGATAAATAACGGAGATGTATAAAAACACATCACTTGGAGCTAGCCACTTTTTCATGGTCACTTAAACATATTTGGGAAAGTTCTATTATGGAAGTAGATTTTCATACTTTCTTTATTTATTAAACCATATGAATAATCCTAGAGTTGTTTGAATTGATTTTCTTCAGATAAAGTCAAATGTTTATCGTCGACACTCAAGTTGAAAAACAGAATTCAACCAAAATAACAAAGACGACACAATTTCGATATATTTACTAGTTTAGATTAGACATATCAAAATAACTTATCATTTTCATCGCCAAACATAAAATTTTGTACAGAATAGTACTATTAAATTTATTCGTACCTTAACGAGGATATCAACTTCCTTTCTCTCGTCCATCTCTTGTTCGCCATCTGCAACACCGAGCATGTTCACCGACATTGAAATCAAACTTCCGGTCAATTCCGATGAATATCAATGACTCATACTCTTCCTTGAGTATCCCTATACATCCATGATTTTAAATATTAAAATATAACAGAGATCGGCGTAAATTGTGGACGGAAAAATCGACTTTCTTTGGACTTTTGTGCTGGATTTTTTCGAGTCTTAAATTTTTTCCCGCGCAATTTTTTATGCGCCCGCGAACTTTACACTAGTGCCGACTCCCTCTAAACATGTTAAAGTGGGCTTCCTGTGGACCAACAAAATGGCGGACAAACAAACAGAGAAAAAATCTGGCAGCAGCCATTTAAAACGATTTTTGAAAGATTTAAAGTTGTTTAAAGGAACAAGCTCAAATGTTGAAGAACTTCAAGGTAGGTTGCTAGCTGTGGTTTGTTCTCGTCCTGTTAGTCTCAGTGAAGTGGAAAGGTTAATTTTAAAGGGAGCTCCAGTGAATTCAAGGAGTGAGCTTTGGCAAGACTATACAGCTTTGCATTTTGCGTGCAGGAATGATGATATTCCTACTGTTCAACTACTTATTCAATATGGTGCTGATGTAAATGCGAGAGGAGACGATGGCTCTACACCATTACATGCTGCGTTGAGTGGTTCACGGGAGCCTCAGTGTAACTTGATAAAACTTTTACATAAAAACGGTGCTAACTTGAACGCTTTGAATTTCCGAGGAGAGACTCCTTTACATTTAGCAGCAACATCACAGTCTACTTCTAGTGCTACGACACTAATTTCGCTAGGTGCTGACCCATTTATATCGACATACCAGTACCAGTATGAAAGCGCGACCAGTCGCATGGCCTGTCCCATTGGCAAAATGGGTAGACCAATCGGCCACTGTTTGACCTCAGGGAGACTCCAACTCATTCTTCTTTTTCTTCAACACGGCGATTCCTTTGAAGATTATAAAACTTCTACTCTTTTCTATGCATATTCAAGGTCTATGAACTTAGAAATTGTTAAGTTGCTGGTCGAAGCTGGCTTGAGAGTGCCTCAGGATATCTTCCGAAGGGAGGATATGAGCTTGAGTTTTGAAAAGTGGCCAGACAGCTTTATTGAATGGCTTACAGGTCCAAGGTCATTACAGCTACAGAGTATGAGGACAATAAGAAATTGTGTTGGAAATAGAAACTTAGGAAGAATAGCAGAGCTCTCTTTGCCGACTAAGTTAAAAGACCGATTGATGTTCAAGTTTGAAGGCATTGGAGTGAAGAATGATTCAAATTGTTGTGTCGATAAAGGTGTTGGAAAGACAAGCAGAGGAATGTATTTTTTCAATATTTATGATCATGCCATACCATGCAGGTGTATTTCAAGCTAGACATTTATGACTGACTGTTGTCGGTTCCATGCGATGACGAGGATGAGGAGTGTAGCCAGGATTTTCCAAAGGGGGGAGGGGGGGGAGCAAATTAAAAAATGCTTCATTTTGTTTGGGCCCCCAAAACGATGAACCAAATAAAGCATTACTGTTTAAATTCTAAAAAGCTGCAATTTGTTGCCACAAAGAGGGAGCCATGGCCCCCTCATCCCTGCCTATACACCCTTGAGGATTAAAGTTGCAAAAAGTTAATTCGTGTTTGTAGTCATAACCATGGGCGGATCCAGGGGGAGGGTCGGGGGGTCGCGACCCCCCTGTCATTCCTGAGGTCAAATGGGCTTCTTGTGGTAAAAATGCGACTGGGATTCCTTTGCCCACAAAATTTACCCCTGAGACCCCCCCTTCAAAAAAACCCTGGATCCGCCCTTGATAACAGTCATAATATAGCCGTAATTTTTTCTTAAAATCATTTATTATTTTTAAAAAATATCTTTAAAAGATATCTAGATTTGAAAATAGAAATGTTGTCAGGTGATTTGGAATCACACCAAAAATTAAAAGTATTTTCTATTATCTCTTGACAAAATAAAATATTTTCCAAAACAATGAAAAAGTACTATTACTAAAATATTTTTGGTAAATCTTTCTGCCAATAAGTTTTATTTTCTTTATTCTTAAGTAAAAGCTGCTTTTTTTGATCTTAAAACCTAGAACTAGGAAATATTGAGCTGGGAACAAAATGTTCACTGATTGGCTAATTCATTCTAAATTAAGTGAAATCACTTGGTGTGCTGTTCGGGTTCATGAATTGATCAAAATCATTTATCGCCTAAATAAAAATGTCTTAAAATTATCTACACAACCTGAAAACTAGTCTTAACTTTGAATAATTGAATTTGAATGACTATTGTTCTGGACTGAATAACCTCTCATTTTAGTAAGTTTTTTCATCTTTTTTCTCAGTGTATAATTAATTTTACCTTTTTATCATTACTGTTTCATTAGAAACACCGATGCAGCTCACACTAGTTTTTAGCTAGTTATCTCTTCTAACCTCTCATACAAGTGAATTTATGTTACTACGTAAACACTAAACTAGGTCAAGAACAATAGTTAGTCAAATTGTTCACCATATTTCAATAAGTAATGCATTGAAATCAAATTAATAAAGCTATTTTCTCGACAGGTTAACAGGGCTTAAAATAACGGCTAAACATCAGACAATGTCTGGCGAGAACTGGAACTTATCCAGTCAAATCTTTGCCAGTCATTTTGACCAGTAACATTTAGCCAGATATAAGGTATGACTAAATGAAAAAATTTTTGGACTGTGATCATGGCCAGTGACTTATTAGCCGTTATTTTAATCCTCAATATAATTGTTTGATTATTATAGTGTTTTATGTACATGGTGTACATACATAATTTATCTTTCCCCATAAGGGCTTTTAGTACTTTGTGGTTGATACTTTTTTTATTTGTGAACTATAGTTCTGTGCCTGAGTAATCGGGTAATTTCCAGCATAGCTCAGAACTTAAATTCCCGAATTCTTGATTTTTTCTATAAAATCTTGTGGACATCCACCAATCATCAAGATTATGAATTTTCAGCAACTCATACAGATTTTTCCAAAAAGTGATTGCAGTCCTTTCTACCTTGGTGATTGGCAGGTCATATAATTCTGCTTCAACTCGGCTCGGACGACATCTGGCAGACCATGGTTTGGGGGGGATACAGCAAGCAAAGTGGAAAGCTTTCATTGGTCGATAAGTGATGCGGCGCACATTGTATGAGTATGGCAGAGCAGTCCACCTCCCTGTGTCAGCATAATAATGCCAGAGTAGTACTTGATCATTAGGGCAGTGGTCATCTGTGGTTTTCCACCATAAGTCCATAATCTTTTTATAATCCATTGCGTCTGGTTTAAAGACAAGTAGGCCAGCATTAAAACAAGGGTCCAAAACCCCAGGCCTTGAGCATGTTGCAGCAGCAAAATCACCTTTGATGTCAAACAATTCATCAATGTTGGTCATTGGCATATAATCAGGATCTGCATAAATTATCTTTGAAAACTCAGTGTAATTCCATGCATGGAATCGAGTATGAGTACCAATGTACCCAGAATGTAACTGAGGTAACCCCTTCTTCTTCTCTATCCAATCACAATCAAGGCGTTCAACGCTTCGTATACTCCATCCAACTTTTTTTAACGCGTTTCTCGCTCCTTGACTAACGTCTGAAGACACTAAAGCTATCATGTTTCTATGACAGGAGAACTTTCGTAAAGAATACCCTAGGACAAGAGCAGGAATGGCAAAGTCGTCATTAACCATGGCTGTCAGCCAAGTCCAATCCGATCGTGACGTAATCCTCCCTTGACACCACTTCTGTCCGTACTCACTCTCCAGTTGATACAATCTCCACTCTTTTTGAGCCAGCTGATTATCATTTTCAAATAGTCTTGTTCGGTCGATCAAGACTTCTCGAACGATCAGTTTTGTATACTGATAGATGTAGTGGATTAGAAGCGGCTTGGCGAAAAATACATACAAAAATAATAATGAAACGGAAACCGCGAAAATCAAATTTCGATTCCTGTAATTTGCTACAGATTGATACATTTTTGGATAGAGTTCTTTATCGCGACATTAAGGTCTTCTTTAACTCGGGAAGCCCAAACACGTATCGAATATAACACAGGAAGCCCAAGCACGTGACGAATATAACACAGGAAGCCCAAGCCTTATGGCCTTTAATATTTGGTTTATTATTAAAGTACACGAGAACCCTTTGACAATACTTTCACCAATGCAGTGTTTCGGCAACTTCCTTACATTTTCTCCAAAAATTTGGTTAACACGTTCTCTATAATAATCTTTATTCTTCAAAAGACAAGACACATATCTTAAGTTACATTACTGCTTTTGTAAGGTTAGGTTTAGTGCTATTGTTTGGATGACCAATCTATTGTTTTTTAATCCAATCATGTAACTCCGAGCGGTACAGGCTGCTAGCTACACTATGAAATGAAAGGACCTTATCACTAGTACAACTTGGGGTTATGAGTTGTCAATTCATGCTAGTGAATTTGATCACATTTTATCCCGGTTGTGTGGGAGACTAAAGTCGACAGATGGACCAATTGGAACTATGTTCGTTGGGTTAATCTTTGGAAAGCCAGCCTGAAATAATAAAAGTACACATTATTAAGTATAGTTATATTGTCAGAAGATAACCAGGGATCCTAAGGTTTGAGGAAGCCACTGCAACTCTGATTGTACATTACTAATATGCCCTGCATGGTTGTGTAAGCCTCCTACGTAATGTAGCTGTCCTTAGGATCTGTCACACAAGGTTTCCTTCCCCACATGGGAAGAGGACTCCTGCAAGACAGACCCTAAGGATGGCTGGTAGGAGGCTATAAAGACCCCTTGCATGTGATGTCAAAACAGCTCGATCGGGGGACAAAATAAAAGAATTCCAATCTCCTGAGAAATTGGAACCTATTGTTTTTGTCCCCCAAATTGAGCTGCATTCCAAAGTGCAGCAAGGGGTCTGTTGTTGTGTAAGCTCCCAGCTTGGGGGGCAACTCTCTTGAAAAGTGGGTAGGGGTACTCGTCGGACGGTTTTGAAATTGACCCTAAAAGGTACGCATAAATTAACTGATGCTGATTTCAGACCCTAAAAGGTACGACCATATTTAAAATGACAACGTTTCCAACCATTATATTCTTGTAGGATGTTTGATATTTTTCAAAACAAACAAATCTGATCCTAAGAGGTACGGAGTCAGCTGTAGACACTAAAAGGTACGTGAGGTATCATTTTCGACCCTAAAAGGTCCATCGAGTCCCCCTCCCCATTTTTCAAGAGAGTCCCCCACCCGCGGCCCCCAGTAAGTAAGGAGAACAACAAAATCGAGGGGCTGTGTTGGATTGCACCATAAAGATGTCCAAAATATTGAGATTTTGCTGGAGTTGTGCTAAGCTCTTCTTCCTTCAACTTTCCTTCCTAGTTCCCCATGTTCGACCCTGTGTACCACTACCCAAACTTTGAAGAAAAAATCTAGCATTCAGGTGTCATAAATATGTGTTAACCATACCCAGTAGCCAGTCCGGATGTGTTCTAAGTTCACAGTCTCCTTTACACCCTCCATCTGGTACATGTCACACAAAAACCCAAACAGATTCGGATAATCAACGATCCTTTTCTTGTTACACTGAAAAAGGAAGAAAGAAATAATGAAATGGTAACTATTAAATTTATCTCCAAATATTACAAAAACTGATGAGGAACCAAAGAACCTAAATATATTCTATGCCCAAAGCTTTCCCATTTCAGACATGTTTTTCCCTTGAGAGCAGTTGTTTAAACCCAAAGTATTTTACTCCCAAAGGAATGAACATAGGCCTAAAATGGAAAAATTATGTGCAAACTAAAGAGGTTTATGGGTTTTAAGTATTACCTTGAAAAGCCCATAATATGCCAAGTCAAATCTTATCAAGGAGGTTAACAAACGGATATCAGCTTCTGTGACTTTATCGCCTACTAAATAACGCTGCTTTGACAGAAGTGATTCAGCCTGTAGATTGATAAACAAGATTAAATAGAATCAGTAGTAATGTCATTGCCATTGTAAGTGGCACTATATAGTAGTCTTCTATGTAGACAATTAGTGACGACACTAAAAGTTGCTGTTGAATATCTTGATATTGATCATATATTGATCATTAGTAACATCTTTAGCTTGCTAATAAACAAAGAAATATTACTCAAGGGAAGTATGCATGGTCTGAAATGGGAAGCCATCCGTGCTATAAAAATATTTTGGGTGAGGACTTTATTTCAAGAACAAACTGTCAGTAGATAGATAGGCATTGCAGCAGGGGCTTATGAAGTATGAATACAGAGCTCTAATTCATTCCAAAGGATTTAACAAATTCCCAATTAAGCACACCTTGTCTAAGCTTTCAAATAACGTGATGACATTTTTGTCATACTGTGCTTGATTTTCTGAAAAACCAGTCTTGTAAACGCCAAGGTTGATGTTACTATAAAATAAAAATCATAAACTTTGGTAGGAAAAAGTTTGAAAGAGGAACCAGACTAAAAAGGTTGTGGCCAGGCAAGGGGGGGGGGGGGGGCTTTTTAGAAAGTAGTTTGGCTATTTAGAGCATATATGTGTAATAATTTGAAGATAACTTTAAAAATTCTAGATCTGGAGTAATTTTAAAACGTTTACAAATTGAAAAAAAGTACTATAATTTGTAACAAGCGTTCGGTAAACTCACGGATGCACCCAGCTGTTTATTTCTTCTATCTCATCTTTTAAGTCATCGGGAAGAAAATCCAGTTTTCTCTGTTCCTCAGTTGGGCAAAAAGCATTAAATTCTTTGTTAAACATCCGCATGATGTCAATAGATTCATTGTTTACTGCAGTACCCTTCTTCTTGTCCCACAACAACGGGACAGAATTTGAACCTGCAAAATCGGGATCTGCTTTTTTGTAAATCTCTTTCAGGAATTTACAGCCATTGACAACGTCGGCATCGCATCCTGGCTTATCAGGGTTGAATTTAAATCCTTCTTCTGGTTTTTTTACAGGATCGAGGACAGAAATCGAGATGACTTCCTCAAGACCCTTGAGTTTGTACACAGTTAGTGCTCGACATGCGAAGGGACAAATATAAGATATGTAGAGGTGGTAGCGATCTTTCTCGGGCAAGAAGTCCGTGGATCCGTCGGCCTTGATCCAGTTAAAGAAACCTTTAGCCATTTGAAAGCGGTGTGCAATGAAACACGAAAAAAGAAAATTATCACAAGGTGTGTCACTGGACTGGGTTGAGGGTAATCATGTGACAGAAGCGTTACCACAGGAAGCCCATACAATGGTAATTGAAAAGATTACATGAAAGAGTATTGAAGATGCGAACAAGATGACAGAGAGGAAGTGGAGCAAAATTCTTATAGGAAAATACTCGTAAGTGAAAAAACTGAATTAGTACTGAAATACACGCATGAAATGAGTTTTTTTTTAATTTTATTGAGAAACTGAAACTGTGAAAATTGAAATGCAAACTATTAACACTATGCTTTAGAATAATTATGCTATATCTGGAAGCACCTTCTACTTTACCCAGTGGGCCAAGGCAGTTGTGATTTGTTATTACCTTCATAGCACCTATCATGTTAACTGCAAGTACATTTCAAATCATCCTCAAGATGCCAACATTGTACCTCGTGGACAAGTTTTTTTTACAACACATGTTCAAAGTGCAGTCCAGTTATCATCACATGGTGTAAAAAACTTGTCCACATGGTACGACATTGGCATCAACTGTTTCAATCTACTGGGGAAGAGTAGTAAGTTGATGGTTTTTTCCGTGTCTTCTTATTTGCCAAATATAACAGAGATTTCTTGAGTGGAATCATTGTTTTCTTGTTGTGAAAATGTAGTTTTTATTGTATTATAGCTGTAATTTTCTGAACAAATTTAAAAGGAAAAAAAGAAATATAAGCAGATGTGCAAAATGCTAAAACAATGGGGAATTAGGGAGGGAGGGAGGAAGGGTGGGTGAGATTTGTGGGATAACGGGAAAGGAAGCACTAAAAGGACACCTAACGGTAATTTTCAATAAAATCCTAGACAACGGAAAGTTTCCCTCTTCATGGAATCTAGGATATATTGTTCCATTGCATAAAAAGGACGATCCAACGAAAGCTGAAAATTACCGTGGAATAACACTCCTTTCTG